GATCGAGCAATATATCATTTTCAGATGTAGGAATATTTTCCCACAATTGTTCATTAAATGCCACTGCAATTAAGTGTGGTCGTTTTTGTTGTTTCTTCAAACATAATTCCAAAAATTTATCGTAATAACCCATCCCATGTCCTAAACGTTTTCCTGAGTGGTAATACATATGGTTATAGCATTAAAAATTATAGGTATCTTTTTTTTATTTAAATAAAATTTAACTTACCATCAGCAGTAAATGCGACACCTGGTAAAATTATTGAATCCAGTCCACCTTAAAAAAATATGTATTATTTTTCAAAGTATTAATTTTTATTCTTTGTTAACTTTAAAAAGAGATCCCCATATGAAAATAATAATGTAAGTTAGAGTATGATTGTATAAATTAATTATACTAGATCTTACCAGTTTCCAATGCATTTTCCCTTAATTCATCAAAGTTTGGTTGTTTAATGTTCCATTTGGTTAATGGTAGTTTAGCATAATCTTGCATTGAACTTAGTTTAACCATTTCCATTTGTTTTCCTTTATATCTAGGAACAAATACTTGTTTTTTCATTTTAAACATATGTTTTAGTATTTGGGTTGTATCAATTTCATCCTTTGTACTTAGATATATGGAAACCCTTTTGCTTTCTTGAAATTGTGGTAGAGAACATAGCTGTACATGTTAAGATATACTTTTTAGGTAACTTGATAATATTTTTAAATAAAAGTGTATCATAACCTCACTTCTCTGTATAACAGTTGGATAAATTAATTATTGCTCTGATATACTTACTTTTTCAAACACCTTCCTTGATTGTCTTTGTTTTTCTTCAGCACTAAGCTGTGCAACAATGGTTTTCATTTTTTTACGTAAAGCAAGTTTAGTAGCTTTTATTCCACACATAATTCTTCTGTATTTACTACACCCCTTATAAAAGAAAAAAACCCCGTATAACATGCTTATGTAAGATAAAAGTAATATGACCTGTGACATAATTATTATAACTTATGACATCTTGTCTCTGTTATATATCATATCATTAATGTATTATCTTCAAGTAATTTCTAAGTACTATTTATATTGCATTCTTTGATAGTTTACAAAATTTTTTATTTATTTATTATAGCAATATTTATGTAATCGTTTCTATCATGTTTAATGTTTGAAAACACTATTCTTTAGGATTTTTCTTGAGTCGTTTATTTTAGCTGATTAATTAATTAACATCATTTTAAAATATATAGAATAAAAACTTCATTTTTATAGATAAGAACAATGTTTACAGATATAAGGTATAATTTTACATGAAAATAGATTTGGATTGGATTAGGAGTATATTTCCATCATTGTTACAGGTAAATGCCAGTGCCTTGTGCAACTGTCTACATTACCAGTGGCAGTTTGCTATGGTTGTGGTGTTACTAGTAAAGATGCTCAAGCTAGTGCTGCTCAAAACGCTCTGGAATATCTCAAAATCATGACCAAAAAGTGAGCCAGCGCTTTGCTCCTGCCAGCTGTCACAATCAATTGCAAACCCAATAATAATTTGCTGTCCAAAAATCAAAATAACACTACAGACTCCAAAATTTTATCAAACAATCAAGTGTCGGACAAGGGTAAAAGCGGTCAGAAGCTTGATCACGTGGGGAATAAAAGTAGATTATCTAAGCCATCAGTCAGAATGGTAAACGTTGCAATAGGGAATAAAGATGCTGCATTAAATACAATCGCTACAACATCGAGCGTTACAGTTTCTGGAGGTAGGATGAATTCATCTATAAAAAAGAGCAGTGGAAACAACGAGAATTTAAAATCTAGCGAACAAATATCGAAGAACGTGTCGATCGTAACCACAAATCAATCTAGTTCTACGTTCAGTAGTGTACGTGGTGTTACTGCAGTTTGTGTCGGTGGTAATGTTCCTCACGAGAGCACATCCAAGTCCAAAGATTATTCCGCTAAAAAGTTTTCCAGTGAAATTGATTCGAAAATGAAAAACTATCATATACAGTCTGATTACAAAGAATCCTCTGTAAACAGCCCAGATTACAAGCCGAGGAATAGTACAGTAATGAACAATTTATCATCGAGATACGTAAATCAGTCTGTTCAAGCGCTGCACAGAGAGAACCATGGAACCTCTTCTCACCATTCACGACCAGCGTCACGGAACGACAATACTGCATTCGCCATAGCTAGAAAGGCATTGGAGCAACAGAATTCGGCATCGAAAATGACACCGATCAATTTTCCACCGCTGCGCGCGCCGCAGAGTATCGTGAACGTTCGCCATCCGTTTGTAACAGAGGCTAGAACCAAACATAACGAGATAGGCGGGCCAAACTCAAAAACGAAATTGAACATGGCGAGTTCTTTGCAAAGCGGTATGAAGGATCTCGATCACAGCAGACAAACCTTTCATAGCTATGGTACGTCACAGATCGCTGGTATACCGAATGTTCAAAATCTAGGCAACGTGACGGCGAACATGTCACCTTATCCAAGACCGGATAGCTTTCCACAGCCGACAGTTGCTAGTGTGCTATTCCCCGACACTTCTCAATTTCCTCAATCACCCCCGTTCAGTACAACGCAAATTGGACAGCTGAATCAGTATCAAACCTACGATCCTGGCAGTTTTGCTACTACACCGGTGAACGTAAACCCAGTAATTCCTCAATTCTCCGCAGAAAGCTCCATTCCATATCCGCAGTACGATAATACTCCGCAATTCGTGCAACCGAATCATTATCCAACCGCGGATATAGCGAATAGTCAATATCAATATCAGGCAGCGGGTGTGGGACAACTACAGGATTCACCGATGTTTATACAAAGCCTGCAGAGCCCGATCGCTGTGACGGATCAGTATGCTGCTCCGAATTATGCGAGAACGGTCAGGACAGAGTTGATACCGCGATTGAGGAGGCCACCAAGATTTAACAAGTAAAAATGATTTTTTCTTTCGCATATATACATTGTATATATACATTCTCAAACAAATGTTCGTGACCGTGAATAGAGGAGGAGTAAAACGCAGCGGAATGATAAGATCACGAACATATGGAATCGTATTATAACCTCTGAATAGAAGTAAAGAACGTTCACACGTATTTCGTATACGAAATTATCGAGAATAGCATGCAAATTTGCCAATCTACTTGGTTGAACTATCGATACCTTACGTGGGGAGATTTGGTAAAAGTTATTTCAATTTCTGATCCATTTTGAAATAAATTTTAACCAGTCTATGCGTGTAATCGATGTGTGTATTGAAGTGATAACTGGTATTTTGGCGAAATTGTTTGTGGTTATATGATTAGTGATCGTTATTACAACTGTTTGAGGAAACGGTTTCTACCTGAAACGGTTTTATACATACGTTCATGTACAAAGTGAGAAACATATTACGCAGAGATGAGAAAAAAAGAATCATTTTCACTTGTTCCCATCATTTGATGTGACACGGCAGGGCGCATAGTGAGTTGAGCTCGATTATAATTTTATCACGTAATTTATCTAATATCATGGAAATTCGAGAACGAGAGAGATAGAGAAGGAAGAAAGATGAAGAAAGAGATGATTGCATCCAGTTTATTAAATTGTGTACATAAATTACGACTGCTGATAAGAATAGTCTCATTTCTATAAATATATAGCGATCGTGAAACATGGTTCTGGACAAATTTGTTTTCGTCGAAACCGATCAGTGAAAGCAAATTTGCTAGCGACTGGAGTGGAGCAGAACCCACAGTCATATTGCGTGTGAAAATTCATATAGAAAAAAAAAAGCGTTTGTGAAATAAGAAAGGAAAAGTGAGAAGAACAAAAGAGGAAAGAAACAACTGGATTATAATTATAATACGATAAGTTCTAGTTTTAATGAATGGTATTCTACAAGCTATACTTTGCATAGAATTAGTGGAGGTTTTCCAATATTTGCATATTACTTAGCTTACTGCTATGTTTTTAATGTGCTTCACTATCTATATATGGGATGGCGGTGTAACGATGTTCATTTCAATGCGATCACGTACGAAAACGATTCGTCCATAGGGAAACAAAAAAAGAAAAAAAGAAAAGAAAATGAGAAAAAAAAGAGGGAAAGGTATAACGTTTAGATGTCTAATTATTAGAGGAAAACAAAATTTTCAGTCTCTTTCGTGGAATAATAATTCGCTTAATTTGAACATCGTATCTCCATCGAGCGTATGCACAGTGCAAACGTAGCTTTCGGCGATCCGAGTATAATGAGGGCGATCGCGATAAAGTAACGATATAATCTTTCAGTGGTGTATATTTTTCCTTCAGTATGGTAGCTCATAAACTCATAAGCATCATATATTAAATACGCGTAAGATTAATCGTTAAGGGAAATCCTCATTAAGTACGCATCACGTATTAAACGAAAACTATATACTCGTGTGTATCGAACATTTGAATTGTCTACGTGCGTCGACGTCACCGGATGAGACATTTATACTAAATGGAAAAGAATAACATCGCGCATGGACGTGTAATAGCGTCAAGGGGAGATATGATTATGAACCAAAAAGAAAAGCAAAAGGAAAGTGTAAATGGAATGAAATATATATATATATATATATGCGTATATATATACATGTATATACAGGGTGGGGCAACAACGATGTCCACCTTGAGTATTGCCGTTATTTGTAATAATATGAAACAATGTTATATATAAAACTTGCACGGTATAGATGGGGGCATATTGTGATATAAACATTTTTTGCGTGGGTGGAGGTATAGAGGAGATTTCAAGGTCATCTCTATTTTTTTAAATAGAATGCTATAGCCGGCGTTAAGACGACTTCAGCAAGCTAGCATTGAAGGTCGTGCAAGGTCAAATGTGGTAGTAAAATAAACTTTCTTACATTACAGAAGATGTTCGAAGTGGTGACCGTTTGCGTCAATGCAAAGCTGTAATCTTCGTATCTTTGCATCACGTGCATGTCTCATCGTCTTTGAACTTATTCTAGTAAGAAAGTTTATTTTACTACCACATTTGACATTGTACGACCTTCAGTGCTAGCTTGCCGAAGTCGTCTCAACAACCGGCTATCACATCGCGATAAAAGAAACATAGCATTTTGTTTAAAAAAATAGAGATGATCTTGAAATCTCCTCTATACATCCACCCACGCAAAAAATGTTTATATCACAATATGCCCCCCTCTATACCGTGCAAGTTTTATATATAACATTTTTTCATATTATTACAAGTAACGGAAATATTCAAGGTGGATATAGTTATTGCCCCACCCTGTATAAGAGGAAAGAAAGATTAAAATGAATTTAAAAGAAGAAAAGTGGACCTGCTTTCATAGCTGTGCACTTTGCAACCGTGGACTAGTTATCCAGTTTGTGGATAATACAGATCACGGAGAAATGTATTACTTTCGAAATGATCGAGACCGAAAGAAAGAAAGATAGATAGATAGATAGTTAGTTAGAAAGAGCGAGAAAGGAATTACGGTACCGATGGAGGATCGATTTACACCGAATTGTTATATCGCGTTCGTCGTAACATCGATCAACGAACACTACGAATTTTTCTCCCGCGTGATTGGAATCCGTATGTGTCTATACGCAATTTCGTCCAGCGATGATTTCTTTTTTTTTCTACTTTGGTTCTCTTGTAACAAATGAATCTCATTTGATCATCGATAGATTCATTAGACATTGATCGACAATCGTGTATTATTTATTTCTCGGCAAAATATCGGACATCTGTATACAATCGAGTAGAGAATTCATTCGTCATACTGTTTTCCTTTCCCGTTTCTACATCGGGAAGGTTATAATGTGTTCTCCCAATATGTACTAATATTATTATTATTACGATTAGTTCTCTGAATACGGAGTATGCCAGTGAGAGTCGAAAAGTGAACGTAAAATGCAAATAAAAGAGTGAAATTTCGCCGTGTGAAAAATTTCACGTATGAAATCGTGTATGCATAACTGCATTAATAATCGTCGACTTGACAGCGATGCAATAAAACAAAAGCCGATGGTGTCGCGCGTCACCACGATACCTTGCCTCGCATCCGACGTATATCGATAGTACAAAAAGTTGATTTTCTGTAAGGGTAAATCGCATCGTAGGTCAAGGTATTGCGGAAACGCGTGTAAGTCAATGGGAGAGAAAGTGAAAGAATTGAGTGGGAAAGAGAACACGATAGAGCGAGCGAGAGAGCGAGAGAGTGAGTGAATGAAACGACAATGTGCCTCGACACGAGTAACCCCGAGAAGATACAAGGAAAATTAATGAAACTACCCCGAGGTGATGTCTTAAGAGTCGTGACATGATTTTCTGGTCGGAGCATATTTCATACATACTTTTGGAAAATAGGCATTACTTACATGCAAAGTATAGAATGTGTATGCGTGTAAACGGAAGTACATTGCTAGGTTGATAACCGCAACCCAGTTATTTCTTTAAGGATACAAAAATGAAAGAGATTGAGAGAAAGAGAGTGAGAGAGGGAGAGAAAGAGAGTGAGAGAAAGAGAGAGAGAGAGAGAGAGAGCGAGAGAGCGAGAGAAGCGAGAGAGTGTTGTAGAGAGATAGAGAGAACAGTAAGAACAATTCGCGAGAATTGTTTCGTTGTTCAACTAAAAAAATTCGTTACGAGCGAATAATAATTGTTAAATAAGATGAAGATGCGAAACGATTAATATGCTACATTACAGGCGATGCTAATTTCTCGTGTAATTATATTTATTTTTCTTATAGAGTTCGTGGAATTAGAAAAACTTGTTATTGTACCTTTTGTTTCGATGTTCAATTTCGTTTCACATTTTCTTCTTTTTTTTTTGTGTGTGTAACTAGAGCGCTGCTTTGCGTGGTGAGAATCCGACTAGTTTCACGTGTATCCTCCATCTGTGAACAGTTTTTTGTGCCAATCGAGATCCAGTGCGTCGCGAATTCTGAATTCAGATGGGGAAAACGGATACGATACCAGACGGCGTCTCGTCACTTTAAACGCGACGAAGAAAAAAAAGAAAATAATGAAAATTGTTGAACCTCTCCAGTTTCTAAGGGAACATATCAACGCATGATGTAAAATTAGAAGGGGATGGTCTGCTGAATATCTGTCCGGCGAATCGATCTTATTGTAAACGAGAAATTTTATGTTTTTTGTTTATTAGAAAAAATTGACGATGATACGATCTTCCAGGTGTTGGCCCTATTTCGGAGTGGATCATATTATTTTAGTATTTTACAAGTTTTTTTTTTTTTTTGAGTTTGCTATTACTTTTTTATTTTATTTTTATTATTGTTTGTTACAGACTTTGCAAGATCGTAATTTGTCGTTTGTTTTTTTTCCCCCTTGATGGGAATGATTTTATATGTAGAATTACATAACACTTGGGATTACCAAGGATTAAAAGGGACGCAGTAAGATCCCTCGAATTTTACAATCGTTTATGCACCCTTAAAAAAAAAACGAAGTATTTCTGAACCGTTGATCGTAATCGGAACACCTCGTCGATCTTTCTCGATTTCGCTTTAGCTTTTCGTAAATCGCGAATAATCGGAAGGATCTCCGAGGTCGTTATAAGATCGAGTCGACCCATCGATCGGAATCGTTAATCGACACGATTGATTTCGCTCTGGAAACTAATCGATTCGATTAACCGCTGCAAAAGAAGAAGAAAAAAAAAAAATAAAAACTGTAAAATGAAAAAAAAAACCTGTCGATTTATCGTACCCTAACACCGTTGATATTCTCTCGTTTATGGGGAGGGGACGATAATTTCGAGCGAGAGAAAAAGCTTAATTATCCAGCGATTCGGTATCAGACGGCGAACCTAAAGCATATAATGAATGAAATATTGTGATGCATAATGAGAAAAAAAAATATTATAATAGAGAGAGAAAAATAGACTTCCCATCTTCTTCGACTACGGGGAAACACTTCTTCGTGGACCAACCTAGGAACGAGAAAAGGTGACGAGAAGCTTTCGATTCGATCCATCAAAATAATAGTAGCCAGTTTTAATAATTCCTTCTCCCTCATTGATCACAATATCATTAATATATACATGTGTAGTACGTAAAGTGTACGTAAGTTCGTTTCTCTTTTCTCGTTCGTATCATTCACCACGGAAGCGGTCTTCTTAGCCGTGCAAAAAGAAGAGAACCGATCTCCAACGACTTGTAAAGTCGACGGGTAAATTAAACAAAATGAGAGAAGAAGAAGAAGAAAAAAAAAAGGAGAAAGAAGGAATATAGGATTTTTTCAACGGGATCGTCCAGTCTCGTGTATTAAGTAAAAATAAATTGAAGTTAAGGCAGAAACACGGAATGATTACATCACGATAATATATTCACCTATGATTTTATTGTTGGAGCGCTACCGTGTTTTGTAAGCGTTTTAGCATGCAACAGTGAGAGGAAGAAGTAATATGAAAACGAAACAAACAAATTTCTGTAGATAGGAGAAGGCACGTTTCTCCAAAAAAAAAGAGTGGAAAAAAAGAAAAAAGATCTGTGATCGAAATGCAGTTTTCGATGCATCTATATATTCATGTGCCGCGGATTTCTACCCCCCTCCCTCCCATACATATACATACATACACATCACACATACACACACCTTGTCATTCACGAGGTCGAAATACAATTGTATAAAAGAAGAACAAAACTCGAATCACCGTTTCCCTTAATCTTTCTAGTACGATCGATTTTTTAGATGAGCAAGAGCGAGAGAGAAAGAGACAGGAGATACTTAGAAGAAAAAAAAGTAATGTTTATCTGCGATAAGGAAGAAAAAAGGAGAAAAGAAGAAACCATTAAAATCTCTAATGCCGTTGCGTAGACGAGATTTGTCAATTTCCTTTCCCTTCTCTAAACGATCTTCGAGTTCTTAGGACAGAATCGTCTACCGGGTAAACTAAAGAACACCAAGTAAATTCCGACGATACAGAGGAAATGTAGATATTCATTTGTTCCTTGCCGTATAAAAGAGAAAAAAAAAAAAGAAATGAAAAAAAAAGAGAAAGAAAACACTTTTATAAGATGTATAATATTAAAGGTCCAGCACTGTCTGGGTGTAATTTGTAATTTTTATATGTGGAGGGGGACACGTTAGTAATTTTTTTTCTGTTTTCTTTGTCTATTTTGCGAGAACCTTTCTGACACCTTCCGCCGCCTTCCTTCCGATCCTTTATCTCTCCCTCTTCTTGTTTTATTTTTTTTTTGTTTTGTTTTTTTTTCGTAAGTTAAACTATCTTGTGTTTTGTAAAGTAATATTGTCGGTTTCGTATAATCGACACGATGTACTGGCACACGACACGGACATGGCATACAGATAACGACTTAGAAAAAAGAAACAGTATAGCGAGGCCCGTTTCTGTAAATCAGGGGCATACAATATCTATAATCAAGGTTGTTTTATGTATGATTGTGCGTGTTACATTGTTAATAAACTAACGATGCTTATGAAAGTTCTTCCGCGCTCTGTACCTCTACTTCCTTCTTTCATTTCCATGTAATCAAAAGTAACAGAGAATTCGACAGTTTCGTGATTTTATTCAAAATTTTTGCAACACGATAACGAGAATAAAGTTTCTCGATACAAATTTCTTACACCGTGTTAAATTTCGTATATCCAATATCCATAGTAAATTGGTAACCGGTGAATTTGCAGGGATGCATTCAGTTCCGCGGTGATTATTCTTATCGCGTCCGTATATCCACAAAACGATCCAATTTTAGTACTATATAAATTCAATCCGAGCCGCGTGTATGTAACAATAGAGGCGCGCGAACAATCGAACCGTGCATCCCATAAAGAACACGCGCTGAAACCACGTTCCCGCTTCGGCTAAAATCTAATTACATCTCCTCTTATATGCAGAGGCTTATATCGATTCATTATACGACCGTAGAAAAAGATTGCTGCTGTTCACGTGACTATTAACAGCACGCCTCACGTGTTCCCGTAACGACAACCAGGCTAGATTTGACGGTAACGAAAATGACTCGACAATAAATTTATGTAGTTAAATTGCCACCCTCGAGTTCGTGCACTTATATGGACGGTCACCGCTTAAAGAGGTTGTTGGAACCCGATGGTATGATACTTCTTTGTAACTGCAGTTTAAAGACGATTACGCAGTAGGTAATTTTAAACGCACGATTTGTTGTAAAACGTAAATGCAAACTGTATATTTTGTAAATCTAAATAATGCGTAATCACATCGTCTCACGTTATTATTCGTGCATTTCTGTTTCATCGAACGGAGTTTTTTAAATTTTCGATTAATATTGTTTCAGTGATCAAAAGACTGATTAATTTTATATGTTGCAACTATATTGATTTTTCTGTGAAGTATAACCAAATGTATGAATTATTTAGTTGTGGTTTGTTGGTAAAGAATTGTATTTCTTTACGGAAGATTTTTTAAAGTACTACAAATCACATGTTTACACGAATATTTTTGGCGGCAATTTAAACGCAATTGACTCACAGAGTATGCGCGTTAAGGGTCGAAGCGACGTTAGCGCCGCCTTGCCGGTAGTAGTTGCGCGCGCACTTCGAGTCACGTTTCTATCACTGGAAGTGTTCAGTTGCCGCTACGCGGCCGCGTGATTCGCAGTTTTTGAAGTTCTCGTTTTGGAAACAGTTCCTCTTTAGAAATTTTAGTGTGTGTGCATGTGCTCTCGGCTTGATTCGAATATGAAACAACGATATTAACTTCGTGTGATTGAACAATGATTCGTCGAATTAATTTTGAGCTTTGAATTTACTCGGTACCGACGTCAAACTGTTCGCGAATAAAAACAATCGATTCGATGATCTTCAAAGTTTCGTCTCAAATATAACAATGCTCGTTAAGTAAATTTGTACGAAGTTACATTACGGTGTGTCGTGTTAAGTTATTTACAAGAAGAGTGTTGGCATGGAATAATTGAATGTTGGCATTAATTGGTAAATATCGAACTTCGATTTGGACGCCATTGAGGTATGAATATTTTTCAACAAACATTTTATTTTGACTTTCATATTATTATCAGGGTCGTTATAACACATTGTATTTTCGAGCAACACAGGTGTTAAGGTTAATAATTCTCGGAATCAAAAGTTCTTAGAAAGCATAACAATAGATAAACAGAAATAGGGATCTCTAGCCAACTGTGTTATTGTTGACTTTTTTTACCACAGTAGCTTCTTTGAAATATGCACAGCTCGAGGCTTCGGTTTAACGGTGCGTTGAGGCGTGCATGATGTAAACAGTATATCCGATTTCAGGAATTTCCTTCACAATTTTTTGCAAAAAAAATTTGCTACGTCACGTAAACTTGAATGTCGAGTAGGATGAATACATATGTATCACCTTTTGTGTCTTTATATGTATGTATTACACTAAAATACAACTGTTTTAGACTGAAATGTAAAGAAAATTGAACGATTGAAAATAATTAATAATATAGAATTGAATGAATTTCTTGACATTCATTAGATAGGAAGATTAAATGCAGATCAATAAGATAGTGCATTTGTGTATTGAAGAAGCAACAGTTGACTGGAGGATGTCACTGAAAATGAATTTCTCATGAACCCAATTAATTCGTTAGAATTTCTGCGATAGTTATACAGAGATTTTTTTTTTAATGAAATTATTTTCATACGGAGAATGAATTAATCTCGTGTAGTGTATCATCAGATATAATAAGAAATTTTTCGAATTAGTATGAATTACTAAATATACTATAAATAGATATTTTGCAACAAAAATTTGTTTTCTTTTTCTTTCTAAAATACGCATATATGATTAAATATGACATTTTTATATCATCATTAATTTTTGTTTCCCTTTTTACCTTGTCTTAATTAGCAAAGTTTTAACAATCATTTCGAAATTTTTTGTTGTTTTGCGTTCTCATTTTGTTTGGAAAAATGAAATCTTGTTTGGTGAATCTTTCAATAAAGACGGTGTTCAATTAAATTTCGTACGATTTGCTTACTATTTAGTCCGAAAGTGCATATTTCAAAATTTTTCATCAGTACATCTTTCCGACTAATAATGAAATAAAACACAGATTCCATTTAGCAATTCCTTTTAAGAAAAAGAGAACAGACGAGGAAAAAAACATCAAGTAAAGCGATCGTAATGTACACAATTATAGATTCGCTCCCTTATTCTTATTTTTAAGAGTAGAAAGAATCACGGCTTAAAACTTAAAGTACTCTCTGGCGGGCAACAAGATTCTCCACTTCCGTGGGATATAATTTCAAAGTGACCGGAGGACTCGTGCTCGACGAGCATTCTTTTGGCAATAAATTTCCATTAAAAAAAAAAAGAAAAAAGTGAACTAATATTAACCTTCTATGACGTCACGTGACTTAGAAGTTACGTAACCATTTATCTATATTATATAGTCTCATTTTATTTGCTTATTTCTAATTTTTTTATATCTATCATTTTTCATATTTATTTTCGCTTCTCCCATCGAAATATAAAATTGTAATCAGTCGTAATTGTTTTTATACTAATTACAATTTACTAATTTACAATTATTATATTTTTCATATTCAGTTTTTCTTCTCCCATGAAAATATAAAATAGTACTAGACTGTAATTTTTCTTCTCACGAACGAAGAAAAATCAGATTACAGAGGGTTTAGGTTTGATTAAAGTATTAATCAAATATTAATACTTTCAATAAAATAACCTCTTATCTATATATCTTCTGTAAATAAAATTTTATCCTCAATACACAAATCTTTATTAAATTTCTTACTCTTCGAAATAACCTTTCACTCGTTGTCGCTAGTCAGCTTCGTTTATTCTAAGAAGGAAACGAAGAAGGATAATTCGTTGGAAGTTTAATCGTAAAATTACCGTAACGAAAAAACATGCCGATACTCTTTAAACGAAAAGTAACATTCGTCCCGTCTATCGAACAACTTACGACGTTTCGATCGGTGTGAAACGAACGAGGCTATGGTCGGAGAGGCTAATTGAATTCGTTCGATTAATTGTGCCGCGATTAAAACGTAAGCGAGTGATTATCAGTCGGTAACATTGGCGGATGGTTTTGGCGTACCAGTTGGCCACCCTGTCTTCGGTGAGTACCTTGTTTCATTATTCAAATTGAATTTCTGCTGGAATTGCCACGTGAACTGTGCACCTCCGAACAATCCAGCGGCAATTATTCCTGAAGCTTCGGTTTGATTATTTTGCGTACTCTCGTGACTCCCGTCGCGGCGCAATTTCGCCGTGTAATGTTCCCAAACAATTCATATTAACTTCCGATTCATTTCGATCCACTTTCGACTCGCGGTAAACCCTTCGGCCATTTTACGTTTGCTATCAAAACGATTGTTCGCGACGTGATTTAAAAACGGGTTTTAAGTCGACTGATAAATATGTATCTCTTGGTGAACAGATATTTCCCTTTCCTATCATTTTTCATATTCAAAATCGTTGCATCTAAAAAATTCAGAATTGCCCAAATTTGGGTGCAATGGTTTTGGATTCTAACCCTACATATAAAATTCTTTTTTATACGATGAAACACTAGAATCGCAGTATTTCAAGTCTCTACGAGTAATTTCATTTTAACCGTTTCGTAACCAGTGGGACGCATATGTCTCACCTGAGTGCTCGAACAAGAATTGATCTGAATTTAGCGTCCATTACAGACGCAACGATCGGTCGATAAGTAAGAAATTCTTTAAAGAATTCGGTCACGAAAGGGTTACGTAAAATGTTCTATTGTCCCATTTGGTATGTTAATTCTTGTAATCGTACGAAATTTCACAACGAGAAGATCGGTAAATAAATAATGCGATGGGAACAATGTTACATGGTTTCTTTATCAATTCGTTGCAAGAAATGAAGACAAAGAAATGATCCTTGCGAGCTGGATAAAATATGTATTATTCAATTGCGAGAATACCGATGCAAGTAGCACGGCATTTTTTTTTTTTGCGAAACTGTTTATTCGCTTTCTGGCTGCATTAACCTTATAAAATATTCAATCTTCCCTTTAGACAGCGGGGGAAATTTCTTAGGATGCGCAGAAACAATTTTCGACGTTGGCGAAGACGTAGTATTCGAAAAAGTAGACTCGGAAGTTTTTTGGTGATTAGAAATTTTTAGGTTATTAAAATTAAGAATCGACCAGTGTCTAATTTTGTTTCTTCGTTAGAAATCATTTTGCGTAGTTTCGGATAGCATTTTGGATATTTAATCCTTTCGCTCCGGAGCACTTGTGACAAAATGTGCTCGTTGTGGACGAAACCAGTCACGTCGATAGCGTTTTATAAATTTTGTCACGAATTTTATTACAGAAATTAGAATTATTTTCTGAAAATAATAATAGTAATTATTATTCTGTTTTCGTAATATTGAATATTAAAATATTTCTTTTTTTGCACTTTTTGTGAACGTATATGTACGCTTTTCGGAACGAAAGGGTTAACGGAGCTCTACAAACGATAATTTGAAAAATGGCCTTTTTATTTATAATTGTTAATTTTGGTGCGACTGTAGAGGGTCTACGGGTCGTATTTTCATAATGTTTCACGATGTACTGGTAAGGCTAACTACGGTGATACCTTAACTCGATAAATTTGTCCAAGAATCAGCCATGTGCTTCCACGGAATGATCGGAACCTCGAACGCTGCTCTCAGTGATCTTGCTTGTTTAGACCATATTGGCCACGAATAGCCGCATAAACCTCTGGAAATAAGTGGAACATAGAGGATCGTTGGTGATCATAAAGATGGTACACTTCGTATATTCTTCGCTTGAAGATATTTATATCTTCGTAAATGCAAAACATAACCCTAACCTAACCCTTTGCATATCAGCGATTTTACTGTGAAACTATTATTTCAGGCTAGTTTTCCTGAAAACACAGTAAACTACCGTTCGTTTTTGACACATTTGTAGTAGAATAATACATTTTTTGAAATCAAATTTATCACGTGTTATTACGTATTAATCTTTAGCATTCTTTCTTATGCCGAGCATCAAAGGGTTAATTGAATTTAAAAACTTTTTTAAACTATTCGACGTTAGTATAAGGATAAATTGCACGAAGGAAAATGATAGAAGAGACGAAAAGAAATTTAAAAAACTTCCTCTGGTTGGAGACTTTTGTGCTCCGCTATAGTTTGACGAAGTTCAAAGCGAAATTCCGTGCATTCACTTTTTATAATCACCATTGAATGTTTAGTAAAAAGCATTAGAAGTTTCCTTGCTGTTTATTCTCCTAGTGCGATTCTTAGGTATTCTAAACTCTGATGTAGAGAAAGATTTTTGATCTATTATACTTAGGCCAGCAGCGTTCGAAACGCAGAGGTAACTTTGTACAGCCGTAAATAATATGCAGAGAACGAAAAATGTCCGGACCAAAATGACGAAAAAAAAAGGTCTCGTCGACTAGCTTTCGATTTTAAATGCTTCGTTTCGTAGGCATGAGATATTGAAATTTTCGAAAAATCTATTTCCGAGTGTGCGCGCGCTCGAAATAGTGGATATTTTGGCTCGTCGAAAAGCTGGTCCCGATGGTCGTGGGAATGATAACGTTATCGTTGCATGAAATACGGTATACCATCGGACACTTTTGCGAATATTGAAACGAGCAACGGGAGAAAAAGTAACGAGGAAAGTTTCTCGGCTCGACGTTTCTTCTTTTGTATCTCGTATACGTGTCCCACGGTACATATAAAATTCAAGGTATCTTCGCGATTAAATATTCAAACTCTCAGAGGATTCTCCTTCATCCGAGGCATCTTTTAGTTTCTCTTATTCTCTCGCGGAGAGAGGACAATTATGTGCCATTTTTTTTACAATTTGCATAATTGAATTGATATTTTCTATAACTTTGCGCAATTCGTTCTTTTCTGCTTCGTCAGACTTTCTTCAGTCTAATGAATTACTTCGTTCGAATATGAAAGACAGGAATTATTATTCGAAGGAAGGGTATCTTTCGAGTGAACTATACTTT